TGGTTGACGATGTACCCTAGGAACTTACCCGAGGTGACACCGAAGACACACTTGTTTGGGTTTAGTTTCATGCTAAATTGACGCAGGATTTGAAAAACGGAATGCAAGTCTTGTATTAATTCATGGGAAAACTGTGTCTTGACGACCATGTCGTCTACATAACATTCTATCTTCGTGCCAGTTAAGGGCTGAAACAGCTTATTCACGAGCCTTTGAAAGGTCGCCCCAGCATTTTTCAGTCCAAAGGGCATAACCTTGTAGCAGTACAGGCCGAACTCGGTTATGAAGGTGGTTTTTTCCTCGTCAAACAGGTCCATCCTGATTTGGTTGTAGCCCGAGTAGGCATCCAGGAAGCTTAGCAACTCGTGTCCCGAGGTCGCGTCCACTAGGCGGCCGATCCTGGGGAGGGGGAAGCAATCTTTCGGGCAAACTCGGTTCAGGTCGGTGTAGTCAACGCACATGTGCCACTTGCCATTTGCCTTTTTTACCAGAACTGGGTTGGCTACCCAGCTCGGGTAATGAACTTCCCTTATGAAGTCTGCTTCGAGGAGCTTCTCGACCTCATCATCGACCGCCCTCCAGCGTTCTGGGGCTAAGTTGCGTTTTTTCTGTCTAATGGGTCTAACTACAGGGTCAGTATTGAGCTTGTGAGTTATGAGCATAGGGTCTATGCCGGGCATTTCTGACGTGGACCAAGCGAAAACATCTAAGTTACTGAGTAAGAAGCGTACCAGTTCGGATCGCAGGGGTTCTTCAAGGGATGCTCCGACCTGAAGTAATCTGGCGGGGTCCTCTGCCGAGACAGTGATGGGAACAGTTTCCTCTGTTGGTGCAACTCGCTCCTCGTTCTGTTCCATAGGTCGCTCCAGTTCGAGGTCGCTAGTTACTTTGGCCTTTCCCTTGAGGGCGGCAACGTAGCACTTGCGGGACTCGAGCTGGTCGCCCCGCACTACCCCGATGCCGAAGTCCGTTGGRAACTTCATGGCCAAATAGTAAGTGGACACCACTGCTTTTAAAGCATGGGTGATCGGCCGACCTACTATGGCATTGTAGGGGGAGGGGGTCGCGACCACCAAGAAATCGTGACTGAGTCTTATCGTGCTAGGCCACGTGCCGACTTCCACAGGTATTGTGACCTTTCCCAGGGGTCTGACCTCTTCTCCGCTAAAGCCGACCAACGGGGTGTTCTCGGGCTTCAAGTCACTCTCTCGGAACTGGAGCTTGTCGAAGGCCGCTTTAAAGAGGATGTCTGCCGAATTGTCGGAGTCAATGAGTACCCGTCGGACTTCGAAGTCGTTGATCTTCATCTTTATGACAAGTGCGTCGTCGTGGGGGTAATGGACCCCGCGCGCATCGTCTTCGGTGAAGAATATGGGATCTTCCGTCCTAGGCCGCTTTGGGGGATTTCGTTCTTCTCTGGCGGCCTTCGGGGGCTGCTTCTGTGGTTCGGTCGGTCGGCTACTGGACTCGGGAGCATCTCTGTTGTGCTCTCCCTGTCGACCTGTCTTATTACTATTATTATTATTATTATGCTGTACAAAATTTCGTAGGTACCCGCGACGGATAAGCTCCTCTATCTCGTCGCGGAGATTATTACAATGCTCGGTGCTATGACCGTGGTCCCTATGGAAGCTGCAGTATAAGTTTTTATTCCTCTCGTTCGGGTTTCCCTTCAGACGAGGTGGCCACTTCACATATGGGGCGTCTTTGATCATCATTAAGATCTCCGCCCGCTTCGCGTTTAAGGGCGTGTAGTCCGCCCGACCTGCTAAGGGAGCTCGGAACGACTGGCTTGGCTTCGGCCCCCGAGCTGGGTCTCTCTTTCTCCTGTCATCTAAGTTGGAGGGCTCGCCTTCCCTCTTCCTCTTTTCGATCCCGCGTTCAGTCCTTTGGTTGATCTCCTCCTCTGTTCTTATGAATTTGTCCGCGAGCTTGAGGAACTCGGCTACAGTCGCGGGCTAGTTGACTACCATGTGCCACCTGAACTCCTTGTGTGTCACACCCCTCTTAGCTGCCGCGAGCTGTACCGCGGGGTCCAGGCGCGGTATCTGCAAGCATGCGTCATTGAACCGCTTGATATAGCCCCGGATGGACTCTCCTTCCTTCTGGACTATTCCGAGGAGGCTCTCCTCGGTGCGGGGGCACCGCTTGCTGGTAACAAAGTGTGCAGTGAAGACCTGCACGAGCTGGGTCCAGCTTCTTATCAACCCGGGGGCCAGGTTCCTGTACCAAGTGCGGGCTACTCCCCTGAAGGTTGTAGTGAACGCCACACACATATAAGACTCGTTGGCCCTTGCCAGGTGCATTTGGGACTGGAAAGCATCGACATGGTCATTGGGGTCAAAAGACCCGTCATACTTGTCTAGAGGAGGAAGTTTGAAATCCTTGGGCATGGGGACTGCAAGGAGTTCTGATGACAAGGGGGGGGAAGGGATTGAAAGAATAGGGGCAACTTTTACCTCGTCCAAGCTTGCTTCTTCTTTACCTCGGAGCTCAGGCAGGATGCGGGTGGTAGTTCGGCGACTTCGCCGGTGTCTTTGCTGCTGCTTAGAGGGCCTGGTGTTGGCGCTACTTGCCTCGGTGTTGCCGAGGTTGATCGGCTCGGACTGCTGGTAGTCTGCTGCCAGGACGCCGAACTGGTTCTCTGTGAGCGGAAGCTCGAACTTAGAGTGCCAAGGTGCTGACTTGACTGGCAAGGAGGTTCCCGATCCGCCAGCGAGCTGCGAGGCGGGGGTGATTAGTCTTTCCCTCCCACCCGGGGATGAGGCCTGGCTCTTGGAGGGGTCCTGGAGTTGGGAGGCTCCTCGGTGAGGGCGCCCGCCCTGAGGAGAGGGCTTGGCCAGCTCCGGAGCAGGGTGCCGAGGTGGGAGCTGTGGTTGGTTCAGAGGCAGTTGGGAGAACTGCTGTTGATAGTGATACTGAGAAAAGTGGTGCAGTACTTGCTGCTGATGGAGCTGATGTTGTTGGAACTGCTGCATTTGGGCTTGCATCGCCCGCATGCACTGCATCAAGTCATCAAACTGGTTTTGGCTAGTCGCCAGAGAGACAGCAGCTGGTTTGGCAAAGGTTGTCTCGACAGGGAGGGGAAGGGGAACGTTCACAAGTGCCACCATGCTTGGTGCGTTGAGGCTAGGGATTCCGCCCGTTGATAGGGCAACGGTGAACTGTCCTATGCACACTGTGGCGGGCTGGGGGTGTTCCCCTACAGCACTCAAGTCGGCATTGTGCCTACTGCTGTTGGGAGAAGCCATAGAAGCTAAGGTTTCTTTGAGAGAGAGAGAGAGAGAGTTAAAGGTTAGGGGAGGCTTTTTGAAGTCTTCCCACAAACGGCGCCAAATGATGATGCGCGATCTGGTCAAATCCTAGTCGCCGGTTATCTCGCCTCCAACAGAGCTAAAGTTGCCTGAAACAAGGAAGGAACTGGAGACTTCCGGGGAGGAACCCGGTTGGGACACTCCAAAGCTCAAGTTAGTGCTCTTGAGAAGGCAAGAGGAAACAATGGATTCCAAGACTATAAAGCACAAAATATCACATACATTCTTCCCTATGAGATGGGGGCCTTTATAGTCACCTTGTATACTTACTCTCGAACCCCTGTCAGTTCGGGTATCATTACCTCTGACAGATCAGGTCACTTCCTCTAACAGATCGGGTCACTTCCTCTGCCAGATCGGGGATCATTTCGGATGTCAACCTCCACTGCCAGTTGCCAGTTTGGGTGTCATAACCTCCACTGCCAGTTGCCAGGGCCATCCCTGCCACGTCTGAGATGGCGGTGGTAGGTGGCCGTTGGGGGGCGGCTGTCATGTGTCGGACCCCTAATCAGTCAGGTGCGCCGCCTCCGCGTACGGACTTCCTGGGCGTCAGGTATGGTTCAGTCAGACGACTTGGAGCCGAACTGCCTCTGGGTGGGCAGTTCGGGTCTTTGCCTTNCGCGTACGGACTTCCTGGGCGTCAGGTATGGTTCAGTCAGACGACTTGGAGCCGAACTGCCTCTGGGTGGGCAGTTCGGGTCTTTGCCTTTTGTGCTTTTTGTAAGGCTCAGGACCTCGAAGGGAGAGCTCGGGTTCCTCCTTGGGGAGCTCGGGAATCTTCATCTCGGAGCTCGGGTTGTAGGTTCCCCCTTTGGGGGAGCTTGGGACTTCTTTTCTCAGAGCTTGGGTTGTGGGCCCGCTGTCGTGCCGAGCTGGCGCTTCTGCCAGGTCACTCTTGGTTGCTTCCACGTGCCGTATGGCCAAGGGGTCGGGTCAAATCTTCCTCCATCAAGAAGCAAGCTCTTGCTTTTTTTGGTATGTAAGTAAAGAGATTTCACTCTCAGCAGCGCAGACATCACATGAGATAGATGATGTATAATTTCTTGATATTTTCTGCTGATAAATGATGTTTGGTGCACTAATAATGACAGAGAATTGTGTTTGCTTATGTTCCATGGCTCAATTGAGTATGCAATGTCATAGTCACTCTAGCCTCCATTTTGGCAAGAGTATTATTGGCCATTAGGACCATGACTCAATACAAAGTATTTTGTCCTCAAAAAATCAAGTGGCACAATGAAGGCATTTGATGATTGTTGCTTCACATATTTCCAAATTGAAATAGATGCTAAAGGCCCTAGTGGCGCCAAGAATAAAAAGTGACTACACAGCAGTAATGATTCGAGCCCTTTGAAAGTAAACCCAGATTTTATCCAGTGGATAAACCAACCACTGCCTGAAAATAATCACAAAAGTTCAAATTATATTTACCTTATATTAATCACTGCAAAGGAAAATATTTAGTTGAACTAAATAAATCTAATTCCCACCTAATTTAAATATGATGGGAAAAAAGTAGAAAAAGAGGATGATGATTGATGACCGTGTAATATTTGATATTAAAAGGTGGTATTAGAAAACAACCTGTCAATGCAAAGCCATCCTCGGTTCTTATAGGTCCAATAATGGGTAGAGAACATATATAGTCCAATAATATTAGTTGATAAAACTTAAAAGCAGAAGATAGGAATAAGCATATCTCAATAAGTCCAATTTTTTAGTTAAGAAAATACTCACCCCCCACCATCCCGACTAGTTAAGAAATGAGTGGAGCCACCGCCGAAGAATAAACAGGGCATAGGTACCAGAACATACATAAGAGCTGCAAGAAGAATGGAGACTACATCAACCATCCTTGAAAGAAGACTGACTAATCTGTGCTATCCATCACTCACCTGTTAACAATGGCCACCAGTTGCTGTAAATCGCACAAGCCTGCCATAAAATATAAATTAAGTCCATGAAATAAGAGTGAAAAGATGGATAAATTCTATAAAGAAGTTTTATTTTTTTAGTCTTTACTTGGATTTTGAATTTTAATTATTATTGATTCAATGATGATACCATGTCCAAAAACTGCTATCATAATGCATAGCCCCCATTTGTGAATAAATAAATAATAGGTTTTAAAAGAAAAAAAAAAAAAAACATCTATAGGATGAATGGCTTTGGAAGTGGAGTGGGGATGGGTGTTTCTCAGTTAAATCCTTGGCTTCAAAGCTCAGCAGTTCTGGCTATACTGATTTCCCTAGTAAGCAGATTTGGAGTCCTAGTTGGACCTAGTGCTTTGGACAGAAAGAAACAATAGAATTTTCTGTAACAAGTTGAAAAGTTCAGATGACCTGGTGCAGTGTGCAGTCAGTAAATTGATGTCTTGGATTTCTGTAAAGTCTGAGTTTAAGCACCTGAATGTGCCTGGATGTTAAGGTCCTTGTCTCTATGGAGTCTGTAAGCTGATTTGTTTTCCTAGCTAATCTCAGTGTGGCTAGGAAGCTGTTGTACTATTTGCTTCTCTTTTTAATAAAATTTTATCTTACCTTTCAAAAAAAATAGTGGAATTCCCTTTTTGTGGGGGTGGCCCACTATGAGATTTGTTGTGGTTGTTGATCTTGTATGTTTACCCAAAACGTAACAATAAATAAAGGAAAAACCATGATGCAGGGTGGCCCAAGGTCCATCCCAAGACAGCAAGCCAGTCTCCATTTGGCAGCTCAGATTTTGTTCTCAGATTGAAGCCCTCTCTTTTGGGGCTAATGCCATACTTAAGGATAGTGATCCTCTAAAATAAGCCTACTAACAAGCTTACTCATGCACATCCAACTTAGGAGAGACTACAAAGAGAATATTGCAAAATAAAGCAGGGAAAGTATTTTGATTCTTCAATTACCTTCTTTTAGTGCTCATGCAGCAATTTAGGTTTTAGGTTTCTTTCTTCTAAGAAAGAACATTTCCCCTCTATAACAGCTATTCTCTCTCCAGAAATTTCTGAATGAACTAATGAAGAAAGTTTTAGCTTTTGCAACTCTTGGAGTTTGTTTATGAGGTTAGTTCCTCTCTCCATAGAAAAGCCATCAACCCTTGGATTTAGTGAACCTATGTTACCCAGGCATGGCACATAAACAAGATGTCAAACATGGCACCTACACCAAAAAAATAAGGGTAAATTACAAAGACCCCCTTGTACTATGGGGTCTGTGACAAAGACCCCCCTATACTTTGTTTTGCGACAAAGACCCCCTTCCGTTAGCATTCCGTCCAAAATCCGCCGTTACAATTTTGTTTAATCCCCATACTACCCTTATAATAACATTTCGGACACTTTTAACCCTCTTTTGAGTTATATGTTTTCTCACGGTCTCACCTTTCTTGCAATCAGTTTCTCCCTTCCAATAAGGGATTTCTCCTTTGTGACCAAGCTTCTTCTTGACCAAGTTCCTAGTTACAGTAGCAAGGGATTTCTTCCTCACGAGTTTCAATCGCAAGCTCCTACTTCGATGAGTGATCAATATTAGGAGTGATTGTTGTGGCTGGGTTGGTGTTCGGTGCGAGGAGGTGAGGAGTTCAACGAGTTCTGAAGAAAGGATAGTAAAATTGAATCTTGGGAATAGAAGATTGAAAGGTAAATTATCCGAGGACTTGGCTGGTTTGGATCAGCTGCAGTCTCTGAATCTTTCTAACAATTTGCTCAGAGGTACTCTTCTGCCCAAATTGTTCCATTTACAAAGTTTACGGAAGCTAGACTTAAGTTATAATGACTTGTATGGCTTGATGTCGGTTGATATTGATCTACCCTCCCTCAACCTTCTCGACCTGTGTGGGAATTCATTGAAGGGTGACATTGCCACAGGTATCTGTAAGACTGCCACTCAAATTCAATCCATCGATCTCTCCATGAACTATTTCAATGGAAGTATTCTCGCAGGTTTCGGTAATTGTGCTTCTTTGCAGAATCTCGGTCTCAGCTTGAATTATCTTTTTGGAAGTTTGCCCGATGATTTATTTTCACTGCAAAAGTTGAGCCGGTTGTACCTTCAAAAAAACATACTCTCTGGGTCGCTCAGTGATGGAATCGGTAAGCTTTCAAACCTGGTTGAGTTGAATATCTCCATGAATAAGATTTCTCCAAGGTTTACAGACAATAAACCTTCACTTGACTAGAGAGAGCGAAAAAATAAGATTTCTCCCCATGCGATAGCGAAAAGAGGCCTTCTTCTTCGTCGACAGCAAAAATATATCTTCTTCTTTGGCAACGGCGATCTTCTCCGGCGACGACGAAAATATCTCTTCTTCTCCGGCAACGGCGATCTTCTTCTCCGGCGATGACAAAAGATCTTTTCTGGCGACGATGACAATCGCTTTCCTCTACATTTGGTGAGGCATTGGTGCGATCTCCAACAAAGGACACTAGGATGGATTACACGAAGGGTTTCGGCTGGGTTTCAAGAAGTGTTTAGGGTTTTAGGCATTTTCACGAGTTATGGAGGTTATTTTCGTAAAATGACATTTTCTATTAGTCGAATTAACGGGGAAGGGGGTCTTTGTCTCACGATCATAGTATAGGGGGGGGTCTTTGTTGCAAAACAAAGTACAGGGGGGTCTTTGTAATTTACCCAAAAAATAAATATCTAGCATGGAAAGGATACCCTTTTGAAGTATTTGACTGGCAAGCTAAATGTGAATACATGTATGTTTTACCTGAGTTTGAAGTTTTTTTTTCTTTTTTTTTATTTGAAAGGTAAAAGTAATAGTGATTAGAGGCTTAAACTCAAAAGGCACATTCACACCATTGGGGAATCCAAGTCAAAATTAGAGAATCTAGCCATTTGGCTTATACTTGGGAATTCAGCAATCTCCCCAAAAAAGAGAGAGAAAAAAAGCTCAAAGAAACCTTTCATCATTGCATATAAAAGAAACAAAGGAAAAAATGTGTAAGACCAAAAATCATATGACCCTTTATTGGGTTCAAGGGAGAAATTTTAGGAAGATCTTTGGTTGGAAGATTCCCCTTTCAGTTGAACCTACCCCCACAATTTACAACTTATCAGCCAATAGAAAACAGGGTTAAATATGTTGGACAGTTTTGTATGCCCTTAGCTTCAATCATAATGATGTACTTTATGAGTTTATTGTAAATGAATAAAAGTGCATATTTGATTCATGTTCCCTTGGTATGTTTCTGTGTAATACCCTTAAACTGGACACTTAATGAGACTTGTGTTAG